CCCTGCATCATAGTGCTTGGTTTTTTAAGCCATTGCTACTAAGCAGTAACAAGTGATACAGATTTCTAATGTGCGATAGAAATTTCATATCTGGTAAAGCTATTTAGGTAACTGAAACACAAGCAATATTAAATCCTGAAAACGACTAAAATACCACCTAAACATTAAATATTGTAAGAATCAACAAACAACTGAAACACGACCCAACCATCAACTTTTGTAAAAACCACAAGTGACAAAACAACTGAAGCGTGAACTAAACTTCAAATCTTGTAACATAGAGCCAACACGTGAAACACGAAGATCTCAACCAATATATTTATTAATGTGCCAGCTTCTTATACTAGGCACAAGTCTCTTTTAAAATCCACTTTTAGTACATGTTCGTTGTTTCTCTTGCCTCTTTGTGTCTCTAGATTTAAAGTCTACTCTTGGTACACGTTTGTTCTTTCTGTGTAACACACCTCTTTATGTGACACACGTCTTTATGTGTCTCAAGTTGTACTCTTGGTACAAGTTTGTTGTTTCTGTGTAACACACGTCTTCATGTCTCAAGTTTTAATACCTACACTTGGTACACGCTGTACACGATGCGCAGCCTCCAATTGGTTCTCGTTTCATGGGCGGGGCCGACACACTTCTCCGCCAGCTGTTGGTATCGCTACACACCTTGCAGCCCCCGGTCGGACACGTGTTGAACGGCTCCTTGCTGCAGGGCGGCGTGTACGTCCACTCCGAGTTATTTAGTCGAAGCCGAGACCTGCTGAAGCGACTGCTGTCGGGGGGTCTGAGTTCCTCCAGCGGGCAGGTGTTGCATCTCGGGAAGGGCGACTCGCATGTCGGGGTGTAGCATCTGGACATGCACGGCATTGGTGGGATATCCCGCATTTCGTATTTGACCAAGCAAGGGTTATACAAGCAAGGGGATTCCCAGAAAAATCTATCCTCTGAAGGGATACAGCCTTCAGTACAGAATGGCTTGCTCCAAAACTTTGGGGAGCGGTGGTATTTCGACGGGGCGCGGTCCTGTTGGTAGTAATCGGGTGGGGCGGAGCACCCTCGTTGTGGCCTAGCGCCGACCTCATCGTACATAACAGCAGGAGGGTCTTCGAACGCCCCACTGCTTCTGGGTTGATGCTGCTCGTAATTATTAGCAGTGCTGCTCATCCTTGAGCTGAACTGGCCCAGTGAGCCCGCGTCCAAAGATCCTTCTCGAAAACTTCGTCGCATTCCAGAATCAGAAGTTTTCTTTGCGAGCCCATTGGAAGTAGCCATGAGCTCAACACAACGCGGGGAGTTAGGATTTCTTTGGCAGGAGAAAGGGACATTCTGAGTATCCTGACTGGTTCGCGGGCTGTAAGCTCTGGAATCGAATGGCTTAGAATGATGATTTTCTGAATCTCTGTTCCACATTTTTTAAATTGTTGGTGCGATCGGCCCCTAGGTGGAAAGGTACCCAGAGAACATCAGTTCATTAAAGCATCGTTATTTTATATTTTTCGTGTCGAGTATTCTCTGGCAAGTCAGATCAAAAGCTGTCTTATGATTGGTTCATCAGATCAAAAGCTGTCTTGTGATTGGTTCAGTGCTAGTGTGAATACAAAAATACATTTATAAAAATATCAGTTTTCATAACAATGTATGAATCTATATTAGAAACAAAAAGAGACGGATTAACATAAATATTTTAAAGTAATTATAAAAGACATACGTAATTTAGATAGATTACAAAACTACACGCCCATATAGAACAGCCATAGTTCGCATGATTGATAGTGACTACTTAGATATTCACTACTTACATAGTCACTACTTACATATTCGCTACTTACATTGTCAATACTTGCATAGTATTTACTTACATAATCACTACTTACATATTCACTACTTACATAGTCACTACTTACATAGCCACTACTTACACAGTATTTACATACAAAGTCTATCCTTACATAGTCACTACTTACATAGTCACTACTTACATAGTCACTACTTACACAGTCTTTACAATGCATACATAATCTATACTTACATAGTCACTACTTACACAGTCACTATTTACATAGTCACTACTTACATAGGCACTATTTACATAGTCACAACTTACACATTAGATACAAAAAACTATTTTTACATAGTCACTACTTACATAGTCATTACTTACAGTCTTTACAATACATACATAATCTTTACTTACATAGTGACTACTTACATAGTCACTACGTACACAGTCTTTACAATACATACATAATCTATATTTACAAAGTCACTACTAACATAGTTATTACTTACACAGTTATGTACATACAAAGTCTATACTAACATAGTCACTACTTTCATATCTCTACTTATAGTCATTACTTATACAGTATCTACAAAAAGCTATAAACCTACTTACAAGTTCTGTACTTAAATTGCCCCAAGATGTGCTATGTAATGGATTCTTTAGTATCTCTTCAACTTCCACAATTATTCCCTGCTAAATGATGCTGTGACGACTATTGCCTTGGGGATGTTGTAGCACAAATCTCTTCTGTTGGGCTGGGTGGGAATTGATATCCGGTCACGTGAAGATTGGTTGAGGTCACGCGCCACTAGATTAAGGCGAGTGCTAATTAGGCTTATAAGCCTGAGGAAAAATAAATTAAATACGTTAGTAATTGGATAAGGCATATAACTCAGGTAGGTAACAAGAAGTAGATAGAGATAGAATCGTTGACAATCTATTGAAGGTGTTTGTATGGAGGGAAGTGATGAGCTTGGATTACTAACCCTAAAGTCGCGAGTTCGGTTCTTGGGCTGTTGAGTTCGTAATTCGTTCCTGAGTTTACCCAGCTCATGTGAGTACCTGACACGTTTGAAGTAAAGGCGGCTGTTCACACTATCGCTGCTCAGAGAAACAGATACACTCTACTGCATTTGCCTCTAGGCTAGGCATTGTGCTTACCACATTTCTTTAATATACCGGGGTCACTGAAACAGGTGAACTCTACTTCATCTGGTTCATCAGGTTCGAAAGTATAACGCTCTATTTCAAGTATCAAACGCCCCCAATGATATAATTTCTGTTGTATTTTTTTTAAATAGCTATGCTTCAAAAGCTGGGTAGGGGACGGCGTGGTCAGTTGGTAGCGCAAAGTTGGTGCTCTCTCTTTATACAGTTGGAAGATTTGAACGGAGGCCTGACGCTGGCTTGTGCTGGGAACAGGCTTTTGTGAACAGAAGACAATGACTGAAATCTGTACAGTTAACAACATGTACAAATAAATTATGTACACGCTGAATCATTTTCACGAGCCTCAAAACGTAATTTGATGAACAATATTTCCGCAGTTCGACGGTAACAAAGTTGAATGCCCGAATGTAACCTTTAAGCCTAAACCCAACAACTGGCACTAACAGTTTTGCTATAGTGTTGCCTTCTACGCAAATAATAGTTATTCCATTTAAAAAAAAACGCTATTTTTTACCACTAATTAGATTTTATATTATTAATTAGGCCTAATAACAGAATTTGAATTAATTTTTTAATTCAAAATCTTATACTTTAAAGGGTGGATTCTGCAACAACCCCTTTCGACCCGGCAAAAAATGCCTGAAAGAAACTCTGCTATCGGGGTCTGCGTTTTCGGGTCGATGAAGCTCGTGGTTGCTATACCGAAAAGTCCCGAGTTCGAAACCTCGGGTAGATGAAACTCTACAGCTGAGGACAGCAACCTATCTAAGAGATAAATTTCTAAAATTAAACAACTGCTTAAAGAGTAGGATGCTGAAATCAGAGTCAACGGGCCATTTAAGAACGAAGAAGAAGAAGAAAAAAACCTTGTTACCCCTACTTGATGAAAATTCATGCGAATTTTCCAAGACAAAATTTACATGGGACAGGATGGCAATGTTGAAATCGAAAAATGCGCACATAGATCTAGAGATATAAGGCTGTCCTCTGTGTACATCAATTAATAATTAAGTACATCTAAGTAAGTTAGTCAAATAACACATTGACATTTTTTTAAATGAAAAACATTGTGGTTTTTTCCTAGCAATCACCAGCAATTTTCACGGTAACCCGGTGGTCCATTCTTCCCCCCCCCCCCCCCCCCCCAGTGGCGTAGCGAGGTCGGGTATCACCCGGTGCGGCACTTAATGGTGTCACCCCCCCCCCCCCCTGAGGCGTAGCGACCCTTCCCGGGGACAAACTTTCAAATTTTCGATTTGCACCCCCCCCCCCCCTCAAACTTTTGATTTGCACCCCACCTCAAGTTTTTTCTATATATATTTTGCTATTTTTTACCTTGGTGTCACCCCCCTAAATGGTGTCACCCGGTGCGATCCGCACCCCCCCCCCCCCCTCGCTACGCCTCTGCCCCCCTCCCCCCCCCCCCCAACTCTCCTCCTACATAGAGCAATCAATTGTATCTGCCACATTACCTGTTGTCCTATGTTTCGACTAGCACAACGCCATGTTTGTATTCCAACTTTTATCCCTTTCCGGACAATCCAATTTTAGGTTTGGTGCTAAATGGTGCAAGGTTGGAGGTAGTTTAATTTTTTATTTGCGCACTTTCTAATAATAGTTCGGTCAAGTGGTGTAACCTGCATATTTATGTCTCTCTATAACATTTACAGGCAATAGTAATAATGTTGATAAAACCATTAATAGTTGGGTGTTTTTAAAAAAAATAAAAATTAATTGATAATTGTAGTGATTTGTTTTTAATGCAAAGAAAACTTGGCAAAGAAAACAGCAGATTTTTTAAAAAAATTCGTAAACCGTATCATAGTATAAATTACCCCTCCCCCTGTCTATTACCTTCTAGAAATTACCCCCATGGCGATTAGTCACTTAGAATTACCCTTGTAAATATCCCGAATAGTAATTATCCCCAATCTAGAGTAGGCCTGCGTATAAAATGTATTTAAGGTAGAGAAAGAAAACCGGCACTTTACTGAAATGAAACAGTCAATTGCTTATGCTGGCTTTGTATAAAAAACAAACAAACCAAGAATAAAAACCGTCCAATTACAGATCATTGACTCACCCTAAATCTAATCCTAATCCTTACCTTAGCCCATATAGGGAGAAGGTGACCTGGGAGTAATTGATGTGGACAGTGTCCTACCTAAGCCCCAGATTAAACCGACTTCGGTATTTGATTAACGCAGTTTGAGCATTTTGTATTCGATTAATAAACCTTAATAGAAAGGTAAGTTAATAATGTAGGTCTATAGTTCTTTGTACTATCGGATTTTTTTCTTGGGTTATATGAAATAAAATAAGAGTTCATTCCTAAGTATTTCTTTGTCTATAATTATCTGATAATATTGTGTACACAAATGCGCGTAATTTAGGAGTATTATGTACACAGATGAGTATAATCTGGCTTATAAAATTAACATTTTTTAAAATAACTTGTTACAATTTATTAAAGGGAAGTAGCTCTTCCAAAATGTTAAACGAACCTCTGTAATTTCTTATTTGTGTCCCTTTGACAAAGAAAAAGATTACAAATAAATATATTAAAAACAAAAATGATCAAACGTTGTTATTTTCTATGGGAATAACTATGCTTAAAATGCAATTAAAATAATAGAAAAATATTTAATAATGGGTAAATTCCAACGTTCATTATACATTTATTTTTTAATATGCAATTTACAAGGGAAGTGACTGGGCTTAAAAATTATATACCCGATATTTTATTTTTCGTTTATTTTTCGTTGGTAAAAAAAGGCATTATCATAAAAAATGCAATTTTGTTTTAAAAAATACAAGTTTTTAAAAACTTTAAACACGAGAAGAAGAAAATATGTAAGTGAACTATAGAATAACATTTTTAATAACTCTACCGATGATGTGATCGTAAGGTCGAGCGCTTAAATGCAGAGGCGTAGCGATGGGGGGGGGGGGGGTACATATGTCCCCGGGCGCCGACCTTAGGGGGCACCAAAATGGGTTGTAAAAATACATTAAAATGTCATTTTAGCTGCATTTTTGCATTATAAATGGTTTGAGAGGGGGGGGGGGGGGTTGCAAATCGAAACTTGGCTCCCGAGTGAGACGCCAAATTGATAGTTTGTCCCCGGGCGCCGGGAAGGGTCGCTACGCCTATGCTCAAATGTTAATCTGGAAATCTCAAGTTCTGGTCGTTAAACGCGTCTGGACACAGTGCGGACTGCAGTATCCAGACGTCACAGAAACAGATGAGCTCTACTTCAGTTGTCCCTTAGGGCGCCATGCAAGATTTTGCACTTTTATTTCATTTTTAAACCTTTCCTAATATAAAAACTCCAGGGACGAAAAAAAAATAACAAAAATATAAATAATTAGCGTAAATAAATGAGGTTAGAAAAAAAATGAATTTAATATAATACATTTTAAAAATCTAATTTTGAAACGCCAGGAACAAAAAAAAAATAACAATAATAAAATAAATAATAAGCGTATGTAAATGAGGTTGGAAAAATCTGAATTTAATATTGTACATTTCTTATAAAAGATTTCCTTCGAATAAAATTGTGTGCAAACCAACCATCCGAGTCTTCATTCATCAGATACCCAGCTGGACTTGCCGTCATCGTCATCTTCATTCTCGTCACCTCTACTGCTCCTACGGGAGCTGGCAGAACTGGGAGCCTGGTACGACTGCTTGCGGAGGGGTGGGCTGTGTTTCACCCCGGGGCACTCTGAGTGGTAGGACCACGAGGGAGGGGCCCCCCTGTCGTGTTTATCCCAAACCTTACTGGCGCTACCACTGAAGTGCCTGTCGACCACACGGTAATCTCCTGTGCCAAAGGTAGACCTGGAGATATATCTCGGCGTCAGGGGTTCTGAATACCCTTCAGAGAGGAGTCTCTTCCTGGCTGGCTTGTTCTTGGAACTCCAGCCTCCGCCGTCGTTATAGCAGGACCTTGTGTCCGAACATTGCCAGTCATTGTCGAACGTTTCTCTATCCGAACCTAGATAGCCTCCACTGCTGGCATAACCACGCTCTCTCACCGAATCGTGCCACCCTCCGCCGTTGTCATAGCAACACTCTCTGTCCGAACCGTGCCAGCCTCCGCCGTTGTCATAGCAACTCTCTCTGTCCGAACCGTGCCGCCCTCCCGTGTTGTCGTAGCAAGACTTGCTATTGGATACACGGCCCGGCCTAGATCTGAGTTGATACGTCACATTGCGTCTGCGTGCTGGGCCTCGTTTTGGGTCGTCTACGTCATCCATGAATGTAGCGTAGCGTTGATCGCGAGGCGTGTACAAGGATTCGTCACTACTGCTCTGCATGCGGTCATCATTGCCACGACAGAAGCTTCTAGAACTGTGCCGCGAAACTGAACTCAAATGACATCTTTTAGCATAATGAGCTTCATCCTGAACAGACAGCATTGGATCGTCCATCAGATACCGTTCTTCACGCCCAACAGGGCTAGCGTTTCCTTTTCGGTACTCACAACTACTAGGACTATCGAAATGTTGCGGGGCTTCAAAGTTATTTCTTCGATGTTGCCGAGGTGAGTTTCCCCTATTCGTATAGTAAGGCTGTTTTCTTCGTGCTGAAAAATAACTTTGACTTTCACTTCCCATGACCGGCATGTTCGTGAATGTTTCCGGGATATGACTAGGTGATGCGGATGGTTGCCCTCGCCTCAGTTGACTGAGTCTGGGGCTGCTTTGGTTCGGTGTAGTCGTGCGAGACTCACCAGAGTAGCAGGTCTGGAAGCGAGAGATTCTCCCGCTGGGGTAGGAGCTGGTGCTGGAGAAATCCTGCAGGGGGTCGCTATCGCAAGCGTCGATAGGAGACATCATGGTGTTGGCGTTTTCCTGGCGATTCCCGCAGATCAACGCGTTAGGTAAGTGCTGGGAAGCTTCTTGAAACTGAACGCGCGGGACGCACGTCGTTTGAGACAGGGGTCTTTGAGGTTGGATAGAGTTGGAAGGATACGACTTGCTTGGTGATTGGTTCGATCCTTTGAACCCTTGGTTTCCTGTGTCTCCATATGCCATTTGTGGGGAATACCCGCAGAGGTCTCTGTGAGAGACATGGCCACCATGCAATTCTGTGTCGAGTTTTGGGCACTGTCCGGGATAGTCTGGTGGAACCAGAGTTGGGTGGGGCTGGCACAATTGGTGATTTGTGCTAGAGTATTGTCGCGAAATCGGATTGTTCATGTTTGGGTATTGTGAAGACAGTTGATTGTTCATATTCGGATATTGTGGAGAAAGTTGGTTGTCCATATTCGGATATTGTGGGGAAAGTTGATTGTTCATATTCGGGTATTGTGGCGAAAGCTGATTGTTCATGTTTGGATATTGTGGGGAAAGTTGATTGTTCATATTCGGATATTGTGGGGAAAGTTGATTGTTCATGTTTGGATATTGTGGGGAAAGTTGATTGTCCATATTCGGATATTGTGGGGAAAGTTGATTGTTCATATTCGGATATTGTGGGGAAAGTTGATTGTTCATATTCGGATATTGTGGAGAAAGCTGATTGTTCATATTCGGATATTGTGGGGAAAGTTGATTGTTCATATTCGGATATTGTGGGGAAAGTTGATTGTTCATATTCGGATATTGTGGGGAAAGTTGATTGTTCATATTCGGATATTGTGGAGAAAGCTGATTGTTCATGTTTGGATATTGTGGAGAAAGCTGATTGTTCATATTCGGATATTGTGGAGACAGTTGATTGTTCATGATTGATTGTGGTTGAGTGATGAGATTGTTCATATTTGGGTTTTGTAAAGACATTTGATTGTTCCAAAGTGGTCGATGCTGTGGTATTTCACTGTTCGTGATTTGTTGTTGTGCGGGTATGGTATTATTCAAGATTGGCTGTGGTTGAAAAATTTGATTATTCATGTTTGGTTGTGATGAAGACATTTGATAATTAATGAGAGGATCTTGTCGGGGCATGCTCAATAATGCTTGTGGCAGCAACACCTGGCTGTTCATCAAAGCCTCATGTTTTAGCGGATCTGGCAAGGCGCTGGACACGCCATACTCCCCGCCCACAATCAAGTGAGGAATCTGAGTTCTAGACGCATACAGCGAGTTTTTATTCTCTACTGATAGCCCTGGTGCTTTGTTACGACCATATCGGGATGATGAGTACGGTGATAAGGGTTCATGGCGCCCATACTCACGAGGAATCTGAGTCCTAGACGCATACAGCGAGTTTTTATTCTCAACTGAATACCCTGGACCAGTATTAATACTATAACGTGAGGACAAATGCGGTAAAATAGGTTCATGGCGTACATAAGGACGATACTCCCCAGTCATAGATTTTGATTTTTCATTTATTGTATTTAAAGAATACGTCCGGCCCCTTGACGATTGTATAACAGATTCTCGCTTGGAGAGATTAGCGTGGTGCGTAGTTTGTTCAGTGTCGGTGTTACTGTTTGCCTCATGACGAAGTACCCCACCCTTAGGGTCAGGAGCACCCACGGATGCGTTAGTACTTTGTAAGTTACGCTGGTCTGTGTTAGACGCGCGTTGTTGACGGTCGTATGTGGTCTGATCTTCTTTATATCTGAATCCATCATCAGCGCTAATCGATTTACTTCTCACCACCTGGGGTTCGCGAATATCCCTGGGTTGCTCATCTTCCCCCTCTGCAGGAGTAAACTGTGTGGACTTATCCGTATGCGGTCTGACTTGTATCTTCCTTGAACGTGTCGCAACGGGCGTCTCAATTATATCGGAGCTCTGTTTGCGGTGATCTTGTAAGACAGGCTCGTCAATTTTACTACTCTTTCGGGATACTTTTGTCCCATCCTCAACGTGCTTGCTGCTTTTTCGGGCGACTTTGGTTTCTTCTCTGGGAGGCGAGGTCCCGCATATTAAAAAAACTTTACCGCTGTTCAGGCTTTTCTGCGTCGACCCGTTGCTCTGAAGCTTCTTCCGCAATTCCGGATTTTTCTCCAATGCAATACAATCATCCAAGCTAGAGCAGGCGATGCACTCCAAGAATTGGTGAGGGCCGGGGGAATCTTGGATTTGTGAGTCCGAGACCGGATGGGATCCATGTCCCCCGGGGTGGTGGCGGTGACGGTGGCGGTGGTGGTGTCCACTCGACACGGGAGAGTGTTTAGGTGAGTCTGGGATGTCCAGAAACTGTTCCTCTCGAACCACAGCGTCCCCATGCTCCTCGTGGCTCATTAACTCTTCTTTATCGCTGGAACTAAAACCTATGGAGCCGCTCAGCCCAAGGATGCTTGGACTTATGGAGGAGCCAGTATGGCGGTCGCTGGGTGGGTACGCGTCTTTAAAATCTTCGTCATCAAAGTTTAAAGAATAGGTCGGAATAATGGAGTATTCTTTCGGGTAGGTTTCTGAAAGAACGTTTGTGTGGATGTGAGTACCGGAGCTTAGATAATAATCATCGTCGTTTTCCTCATGGTAGGCGTCCCATATATGCCTGATTTTCTTGCGATTTTTTTTATCGGCATTTCTCGAGGTTCGCGAGCGTGAAGACGACCCTTCTGATTTCTTTTCTTTCGAGGGATATTCATTAGGTGATTGACTGTCTGACATAATTCAGGAGCCATGAAATGCGCTGGACAGCCAATGAGTCAATGAAGCTTCTTGTCATATTGGTTGGTTTTCTTTGAGAAATAAATGTTGCAGCACATCAGTAGCGAGAATACCATTCCAGATATCTTAGTTAGCAGCTTAAACATTACCTGCTAGAACTATATCTCGTTGACTCGCTTTGTCCTTGAAGTAGCGGAAAATAATGTTTTCACACACTCCAATTTGGAATTTGCTGGAAAGTAGAGCCGCGGACGAGAGCATATGTTGTCTTTATTTGAGGAAACTGTAACTGTAATGGTTAACATTAGTTCTTGGTCGTCTGTTTTTTTTTCCCAAAGTTTGCCAGACTTAATATTTTTTTTGGTAAAAACAAACTTTTCGGGGCCGATTTCCTGTACATTTTAAATCAATTCCAACAGTCGATTTCATTTTAGCTCTGGCAACTTTAGCTCCAAGCATTTCCGGATTAGCGCTAGATATTTGACCTTTTACAAGTCTCCGCCATCCTTGAAACCAAAGTTTAAAAAAAAATACATCCAACAAGACTTTTTACAAAGCTGTTACGTAATAATTTTCAGGATCCTTTTTTTCTTTTTACATATCTCCATAGCTATGTAAATCACTAACCATGTTTTCGGACAGATTTCGACGAAATAAAATTCATCCAACCATTGTTGTCTGTGGGTTACCGGGACAAGTGTTGCAAATATTTCTTTTCTGGCTTGATGTTCCCGAACTTTGCCTCCTTATCAAAAAATGACATCTTCAGTACCATGAGGGGGACGACGTCAATGATATCTTAATTTCTTATGACAATCTTGAGACGGTTCTAAAGACGACACCAGAAAATACAATTAAAAAAAATGATTAAGATTTAAGATAAGAGTATTCGCGTGAAGCTGTGTGAACAGAATAAACTGTCAATAAGGAGTTAATTTATTAACTTTTTACAGCGTTGGTGGTGACTTATTGAGCTAGATGTTGGTGTCTGGAAAAATATCATCACTGTATAGTGTGGTAGTGGTATCCAGAAGCTTGAACACCCAACATCTTTGAGCAACCTGACCCACCCCAGGCACACCTGAGAGAATGTTCTCGACTGAGTCACCTGACTCAACTGGCACACACAGGCATGTTGATCTATCTGGGAAATACGAGTTTCACTTACTTGACCCACCTTAACTACGACCCACCTGACCCACCTTAACTACGACCCACCTTAACTACGACCCACCTTAACTATGACCCACCTGACCCACCTTAACTACGACCCACCTGACCCACCTTAACTACGACCCACCTTAACTACGAACACACCTGACCCACCTTAACTACGACCCACCTTAACTACGACCCACCTGACCCACCTTAACTACGACCCACCTGACCCACCTTAACTACGACCCACCTGACCCACCTTAACTACGACCCACCTGACCCACCTTAACTACGACCCACCTGACCCACCTTAACTACGACCCACTTGACCCACCTTAACTACGACCCACCTTAACTACGACCCACCTGACCCACCTTAACTACGACCCACCTTAACTACGACCCACCTGACCCACCTTAACTACGACCCACCTTAACTACGACCCACCTGACCCACCTTAACTACGACCCACCTGACCCACCTTAACTACGACCCACCTTAACTACGACCCACCTGACACACCTTAACTACGACCCACCTTAACTACGATCCACTTGACCCACCTTAACTACGACCCACCTGACCCACCTTAACTACGACCCACCTGACCCACCTTAACTACGACCCACCTGACCCACCTTAACTATGACCCACCTGACCCACCTTAACTACGACCCACCTGACCCACCTTAACTACGACCCACCTTAACTACGACCCACTTGACCCACCTTAACTACGACCCACCTGACCCACCTTAATTACGACCCACCTGACCCACCTTAACTACGACCCACCTTAACTACGACCCACCTGACCCACCTTAACTACGACCCACCTTAACTACGACCCACCTGACCCACCTTAACTACTACCCACCCAGAGTTTCTTCCAGGCATCTCTTCGGGGGGCAGCCCCCCCGAAAAATTTTTACCGCCCCCCCGAATGAAATCAAATTTATATAATTTATATAGAAAATATATACTTTTAACAGTGTCCGCCCCCCCGAAGAAAGTTTACCACCCCCCCCCCCCCGAAAATTTCAAGTGACCCCCGGAGAAAAAAGTCTGGAAGAAACACTGTACCCACCTGACCCACCTTAACTACGACCCACCTGACCCACCTAAACTACGATCCACCAGACACACCTTAACTACGACCCACCTTAACTACGACTCACCTGACCCACCTTAACTACGACCCACCTTAACTACGACCCACCTGACCCACCTTAACTACGACCCACCTTAACTACGACCCACCTGACCCACCTTAACTACGACCCACCTGATCCACCTTAACTACGACCCACCTGACCCACCTTAACTACGACCCACCTGACCCACCTTAACTACGACCCACCTGACCCACCTTAACTACGACCCACCTTAACTACGACCCACCTTAACTACGACCCACCTGACCCACCTTAACTACGACCCACCTGACAGTATTACTAACACTAATTCTAATGATACTATTAATTAATGTTTTTACATTATGTTGAGTTTTGTTCGATTGTACAATCTGTAGCACGATCGCTAACATTAAAATGTAAACTATTAGAATATTACATAGTTATTTACTTACAGTTTAGATTTTTTTCCTCGGGTTAGTTTACTTGATCTAATTACTTTTTTTTTTTATAGCTCTTTATATTTCCGGGTTATTCTGCTTTATTTATTTTTACTCTTATGTTAATAATAAGTCACATTATTTTAAATTTTGATGTATAGATATTTTGTTACTAAAATCTTTTGATTTCAAAGCTACCATTTTCCTAAAACCAGAAAAGTGTTACATTTTATGATTGATGTTACATTTAATGTGACTTATTTAGTAATTTAGACCATAATATAAAAACTATCACTTCCGTTTAACACTTTATCTCAGAGAACATTGGGAATTCACATTAAAAAGATTACAATTTTGTACCATTATAAGTAGTGCGAAAGACGTAAAAATATCCTAGCAGTTTAAAAACTCCAACAATAAGGTGAGCTGCAAATACTGCAATTTACTAAAAAGACGTCAACGGGCCTAAATAAGCAGTCGGGTGGGTGGGGGAGGTCAGTAAGGGGGGGGGGGGGGGGTCGTCCATAAATGACGTCACACTCGTAGGGGGAGGGGGGTGCGTAATTTTCTGACGATGCGTGAAGAGGCGAGGGGGGGGGGGGGGGGTTCAGATGGTATGACGTCACTTTTTTGCATTAATAAAAAGCAATGTTACAAAACGAGTTTAGCCGTTATTTCGCGTTTTAGAAAACTGTTTTAATAAATTACAATAGGAATTGATCAAAATATTCAATGTTGACATAGTTCCGACAAAATTTTGGAAAAAAATATCGATGTTTTAAGAAAAATTCAGCAGCAATTTTGAGGGGTGTTGTAGGCTGAGGTGTGACGACATTTTAGGGGGGGGGGTCTGGCTTTTTGTGACGACATGTGATGGAGAGGAAAGGGACGGGGGGTAAAAATCGTCCAAAAAAAGCGTGACGTCATTTATGGATGACCCCTAAGGTATCTAAGAGCTTCACAAACCAGTGCCGACATTTTGTTTTGGAGATTAATTTTAAACACATTTTCATAAAGTTCCATCTTCTGTATAGTGTGTAAAGACAACTATTCAACTGTAGGGAACTACGAACTTGGAGATATCTACTAGATGCTATATTTACATGGTCCTAGAAATACTTTTGTAAAGACTCGACGCGTGCTTACTGCCTAACTTTCTTGACACCGTAGTGAGTACATTTCTGTGACGATGTTGATCCCCTTTAGCATCATTACATCTGATATTATCATTACGTCACATCCATAGCATTATTAAATCCATTGGTATCAATACATCTGATCACATCATTACATTTGATATTATCATTACATCACATCCATAGCATTATTAAATCCATTGGTATCAATACATCTAATAACACCATTACATCTGATATTATCATTACATCGCACCCATAGTATTATTACACCCGTTGGTATCAATACATCTGATCACATCATTACATCTGATAGCATCATTACATCACATCCATAGCATTATTACATCCGTTGGTATCAATGCATCTGATCACATCATTACATCTGAGAGCATCATTACATCTGATAGCATTATTACATCTGATAGCATCATTACATCTGATAGCATCATTACATCTGATAGCATCATTACATCTGATAGCATCATTACATCTGATAGCATCATTACATCTGATAGCATCATTACATCTGATAGCATCATTACATCTGATAGCATCATTACATCTGATAGCATCATTACATCTGATAGCATCATTACATCTGATAGCATCATTACATCTGATAGCATCATTACATCTGATAGCATCATTACATCTGAGAGCATCATTACATCTGATAGCATCATTACATCTGATAGCATCATTACATCTGATAGCATCATTACATCTGATAGCATCATTACATCTGATAGCATCATTACATCTGATAGCATCATTACATCTGATAGCATCATTACATCTGATAGCATCATTACATCTGAGAGTATCATTACATCTGATAGCATCATTACATCTGATAGCATCATTACATCTGATAGCATCATTACATCTGATAGCATCATTACATCTGATAGCATCATTACATCTGAGAGTATCATTACATCTGATAGCATCATTACATCTGATAGCATCATTACATCTGATAGCATCATTACATCTGATAGCATCATTACATCTGATAGCATCATTACATCTGATAGCATCATTACATCTGATAGCATCATTACATCTGATAGCATCATTACATCTGATAGCATCATTACATCTGATAGCATCATTACATATCGGACAATTAAAGAAAAATAAAACAGCTGACAAAATCGACCCAGTTATGTATATTTACTTCATCATAACGGCATAACAGATCTAGTCAACCATGTGTGACGTAGCTGAAATATTTTTAGATCCCCTTTAGACCAAGTTCTCTCCCCCCCCCCCTCCTACCCACTCTCCCCAGCGTCGATGGTTGATTGTTTATGTGGGTATGGGTGTGTGAAATTTTTACATTACTGTGTATTGGAAATTTAATATTTGTGAGTTTTCCTGCGAAAAATTTGAACCAAAAGGGGTAAAATAATAATTATAAAGCTCTTAACTGAATGGTACCCAGCAGAAGTTAAGACAATTGACTACTGTTTTACTTTTCTGACAAATTTAACTGTTTTCTACAGCAATTTTGTGACATAATAATAAAAACCGTTACGGGATAGTGACTAGTAACATCGGGGAAGGGGGCGCTTTTTTTTGCCCATGTGAATAATTATATGTAAATTAGTGGGGCGCGGGACAAAGGTTGATAGTCCGCCCCGGGCGCCGAAATGGGGTTTTGTCCAACATACTATTTATTTTGTAACATCCATAGTGATTAAAATAATGTGAATACCCTAACTTTTTCAAAGAAAGCTATAGGCATTCCTTTGAGCTGGAAATTATTCACTCGCTTTAAAAAATCCACGTTTAACTTTTAAATCTTATTTTAAATAGATCCATATTAAAATGAGGTAACAAAAACTTTCAACAATTTCTCAATCAAGTATTTTTTTTATTAGATTTTTTTTAGTCTAACAACATAAACATATCTAAAGATATCAGCTTCAAATTATTTACCTTTTTATTGAAAGTACATTATCGTTGGGCGGAGTCAATGTTTAAATACGACTGGTGTAAGCAGATGATTTTGATTACATTCTTGATGGTTTTTAAATTTGTGCGTAGGTTAAGATTTGAGTCACTCGGCTACTATCCGTGAGATATTTTGTCTGAATATGTGAGTGAATGTGTGAGTGAATGTGTGAGTGAATGTGTGAGTGAATGTGTGAGTGAATGTGTGAGTGAATGTGTGAGTGAATATGTGAGTGAATGTGTAAGTGAATGTGTGAGTGAATGTGTGAGTGAATGTGTGAATGAATGTGTGAGTGAATGTGTGAGTGAATGTGTGAGGCAGTGTGTGGCGTTCATGGTCTTGTCCGGCCTGGTTGTAGTAAGCAAGCATTTCGACATGCGGCTGGAAGCTCTATTTCAGGGGAACCGGCACTTTGCAATGGGGAACGCCATCCAATTTCAGGGGTACAAGCCCTTCTCATCGGGGCTTTCTGTCCAACATCAGGGGCGTAGGAACTTTTCAATGGGGTATGCCATCCAATTTCAGGGGTACAAGCCCTTTTCATAGGGGCTTTTCGTCCAATTTCAGTGGAGTAGGCATTTTGCAATGGGGTATGCCATCCAATTTCAGGGGTACAAGCCCTTCTCATAGGGGCTTTCCGTCCAATTTCAGTGGAGTAGGCATTTTGCAATGGGGTATGCCATCCAATTTCCGGGGAGCAAGCCCTTTTCATAGGGGCTTTCCGTCCAATTTCAGGGGGGAACGCAGTTAGACGTGGAGGTATCCGTTCTATTTCAGGGGGGAACGCAGTTTGACGTGGAGACATCCGTTCTATTTGAATGTAACAAGGAGATTGAAGAGGGCTTTTACAAGCCGCTTGAATTTGCGCTTTCCAGTCAGTTCCCTGTGTAAACGCCCTTTGACATGGATCTTCTGTTCTCGTGGGGTATGAGGTGAGCTGTCCTCTACTTTCTGCTCGCAGCCCGTAGTCATCTTGACGCCTTGATATCTCCGCATGCTGTCTGAAACTGGCATCTCTCAGTGGTGAAAAGCCAGCTTGAGGCGCATCTCTTACCCTTGATGAACTGGGGTTTTCCCAATCAGCGAACCGTGAACTTATTTGCTGAGTCTCTTGAGGCGGAGACCTCCACGCACACGAAGCCGAAGGGACGGTTTGATATGACGACATTAATGGTACAGGCCTCCAATCAGAAGGCGGCGAGTAGGTATTTTGACGCGAGAGCATTTGGGGTGCGGGTCGCCAGTCGTTTCTTGGTGAACTGAAACCTTGATGTTGAGATGGCAAGGCGCCCAGGTGTCCCCGCGACGTGTATGCCGGTTGGCGGTTGTTTAATATTTCACTACTGTTTCTCAAAGGCTGGCGGGAGTAGGCTTTCCGTTCGGATGTTGCTGAAGCCGAACGAACAAGAAATTGATCGTACGAATCTGAAGGATAGCCGCGCGTGTCTTGTGTCCTGGGCAGGTATCTCTGCTGCCAGAAATGATCTCGATAATGATAGGAAACGTCTTGGTGGTCAAAATCGGGCTGGAATTGGTTTTCACGGTAGGCGGGGTAAGAACTCGTACTGGGGTAGTCGAAGAAATTTCTACCTGATTGAAACTCGTACGAGGAAGCTGACGGGGGCATAGATTTGATAAGACAATACTCTAAGCGAGGGTATATCCGCCGCAGCGGCTGTTGGTACTTTTCGGGATTTGCACACCTATCGCAAAAATGGCAACACTCTCTCTTCTTACACGTATATTCGCAGACGTCTTCTTTTTTCTCTTTTTTTCCTTTACATTTACAGATATCGTCATCGTCATCGTCATCCTTATTCTTTTCTTTTTCTTTACAGAGATCGTCATCTTTTTTCTTATCTCTTTCTTTACAGACATCGTCTTTTTTCCTTTCTCTTTCTTTACAGATATCGTCTTTTTTCCTTTCTCTTTCTTTACAGATATCTTCACATTTTTTTTCTCTTTCTTTACAGATATCGTCATCTTTTTTCTTTTCTTGGCCTTCGTCTTCTTTTTTTGTTTGTTTATCGTCTTCTTTCTTTTCTTTGGGCTTTTCTTTCTTTGCTTCTTTGCCTTTTTTATCAACTTTTTCCTTGCCTTTCTCTTTCTTTGGCTTTTCTTTATCTCCGCTTGATTGTTTCTCTAACACCTCCTCCTCGGGAATTGACTCATACGAGTAGGATTGTATAACGGAATATTCTTTGGGGTACGTCTCCTCCAGCATCGCCCCGTGGGTCTCCTCCCTGGTGCCGAGGTAGTACTCCTGTAGATTCGATGTGTCGTGAGCGTCCCAGACGGACCCGAGCCGTTTACGACCGCCTTGCGGAGGTTCATCGTCAGACTGCTCGGGTGACGTGGTTTTCTTGGGATCTTTCTCTTTAGCAGTTTTGCCTTCTGATGCTGAAGGGACATCAGTTTTAGAAGAGTCCTTAACGTCAGTTTTAGAACTGTCCTTAACGTCAGTTTTGGACGCATCCTTAACATTAGTTTTGGACTTGTCCTTAGCATCAGTTTTGGAGGTTTTCTTAGCATCAGTTTTGGATGCTGCCTTAACATCAGTTTTGGATGTTGGCTTGACGTTTGTTTTGGATGTTGGCTTCTTTGACATATTTCCGTTGCCATGAATTCCGTTAGGGATTTAAATTGCAGACATTTTCTTCTTTAGACCTCCCTCTACAGCAATTGATCGTACACAAAACGTCCGAATACCAGAGCTCCTTTAGACTATGCCGACTGAGTTAAATCGTGTGCTTCAATATCATGTCAGACAAACCCAAACAGCTAGATACATTACTGCAGTGTTTTTGTAACGATGTGAGAAAAAGAAATCTTTCAATTTCGATAAGTACAAAAGACAACATGGCAACCCCTGGATATCATGTGATCAGACTTGATTAATGTAATTCCTCCGCGAGTAAAACTACGGTCGAAGAACCAGGCAGTAAATAGATCCTTACGCACTTGTGTTTCATCTTGGCTCATGCTACTCTCGCGCGTAGCATTGCCAGCAAGAAGTCACATTCCTATTTCAGTGCATGGTATCTTATGTACCGTTTGACCAGACAAGTCCGAGATTTTTTTCACTATTTTTTGTTCATCTTTATATGCTAGAAGAATATGAAACAGAAAAAAAAAATGTTACTGGGTTGTTTTAAAACACTGTTAAAATTTTCACCGTAAAATCACGGTTAATTACTGGCAGCTCAGTTGCCAGTAACTTACCATAAAAATATGGTACCATACCGTGATTTAAAAAAAACGGTAACACGTTTTTTACCGTTTTTAATCAGTATTTTACCGTGAAATCAGGATATGGTAAAACAAATTTACCGTTTAATTTACAACAATTTACCGTTTTTATACTGTTATTTACCTTGAGATCAGAATATGGTAACACATTTTACCGTTTTATTTACAGTAGCTTACCTTAAATTTAAGGGTATTTAGCAGACACTAAGAAAGGTTACCGTGAAACCGAATAAGTTCACAGTTTATTTATGGTATCGTACCTAAATTTTACAATAATAGACTGTAACATAATAATACAACATATGACATTCAAACGAGTTTTTTAAATACCGTTAACCCAAAAACGGTACAAGTTTTTACAATTGAAGCCTATTTTCAGCAAGACTCGGTAAAAGTAAAATTTTCGTTGATATCCGTGATGACGCGCTTAGATACATTTAGAAATATATAAACAGACGAGGGAGGGGAGATAGCCATTGGTCAGACAGTTGAGATAGGTAGACACCAATCGAATAGCCAACCAATCAGTTACTTGTCACTGTCAGCTGGTCAATTAACAATTAGCATTAGCGGCTGTTGCAAACATCGACTATCTAGTCGAGGTTATAGCTAACAATCGAGAAGGAAATCAGTGTAGAAGTAGGAAGTTAAAGTTGAAGAGATAGAGTGAATTTGAAGTATTGTTAAATTGGTTTTTAGAAAGTAGTAGTGTAGTGTCTTAGATATAGTGGAGTTAGATGTAGAAAATTTAACTTGTGTTATAATAATTAAAATATATCATGGAACTTGGAACTGTGTCTGTCGTTATATTTCACAGGGGAGAATCTGTCAGACCAGAGGCGTAGCGACCCCTCCCGGCGCCCGGAGACAAACTTTTCGATTTGCACCCCCTCAAGATTTCGATTTGCACCCCCCCCCCCCCCTCAAACTTTCGATTTGCACACCCCCCCCCCCTCAAGATTTCGATTTGCACACCCCCCTCGAACTTTCGATTTGCACCCCCTCCCTCGAGATTTCGATTTGCACCACCCTCAAACTTTCGATTTGCACCCCTCTCAACCTTTTAATTTATTTTTCCAACCCATTTTGGCGCCCCCTAAGGTCGTCGCCCGGGGACATATGTCCCCCCCCCCCCTCGCTACGCTACTGTGTCAGACATGAAAAGGGTAGACCACAACAGTTTTATCACCACAACTGGCTGGGCTGCTTGACGTATTGCTAAATATATCTGTTTGCGTCAGTACACCAAGTATGGGCTAACATGATATATCGGAACATCAGTTTGGGGATTTAGGTACTACATGCTGTTTAATTTTATTACCGTATTCCCTGTTTTTAAGGACTCGTGTTATTATATTTTACAGCTTGTAGGAACTAGAAATTACAAGGTCGATCTAAAACTTGATGTTTATTACATATATACAACATCAAGTATCATAAACTGACTGTTCAATTCTGACTTCGGTTTCACAAAATCATTTGAATGGGAAAAGCAAAACGTTGTTTTAGTAAGCAGATATCAGCTACAAAGTCTGCTATTTAAAATATACCCATCACAATTACATAAGTATCTATGAATTAGTTTCTAAAACTTTGGAAGGTTAAATCGAATTTTTTTTGCAAGTAACCTTTACCATGGTGCCTTTCAGAGTTTCTTTCACGTATCTCTTCGGGGGATGGGGAGAGGGAGGGTACCTACATCCTAAACCCTAAACCGCGCCCCCTAAACCTCAAGGAAATAGATTTTATATGCACAATATAAACTCCAACCAGCGTCGACGCCCCCCCCCCTCCCCACTGTAAGCTTCAAGTGCCCCCCCCCTTCCCCCCAGAGAAAAATATCTGAAAGAAACACTTGTCCCTATTCTGTCCCCCAAGTCTTGCGAAACTAGAAAAAATAATTATAGACACTGTATTGGTCTACCGTCTCTCTCATAAGAGCAATATACAATTCTAAATTTCTTAATCTCTGTAACGCATGAACAACGTGCGTGTATGTAAAATTTGATTCATACACAGATGCTGTGGTTAGCTTACCTACCGTCCTAATCCTGATATGGCTGAGTGAGTCCTCACTGCAAAGTGTTGGGTTGTATTTGTAGTATCGATATATTTCAGGCTATATAGTAGTAGTTCTATACACGATTCAACTTGCAACTTTACAGTAGGTTCTTCCGGGTAAATTTACTTTAACTAACAACTTCTAACATGCTATTTACCTAGTTTTTGTCATTTTTTACGTCTAATATAAATAAGCTCTTTCCTTTACCCTAGCCATCGAGTTCTACAAGTGTTTAGTTTTAGTCTCAAAAAATAACGTATGGTTTGATGTTGAAAGATTTTTTTAAATTACTTGATTGATTATGCCATTTTGTATATATATAAATAAAGTTTCTTCAACTTCCGTTCCATTTTTTTTTTTACTGAACGATTTCGGGAATTCATCAACCGATGCGAAGCGTGATGTGCAAAGTGATACAACACAAAGGCGCCAAACAGGTTGAGTTCTTAAAGAATAGTTTAAATTAATTTAAGAATTTCTTGTTATTAATACAGGTGTTATAAAAAGTTGAATTTTTTTATCACTTCCTTTAGCATTCAATATTTTAATATGGTTATTAATGTTTGATGTAGCTAAACAATAAGTTACTTGATATAAAACGAAAGTGAGCTGGTAATTAATGTTAAGGAAGTACGAGTTTTACGCTTTATTTTACTCACACTATTTGCGTTAATTTATATGCGAAGATTTTTTTCTCCTCAGTGTAGGCAGCTTGTTCAACGGGTGATTATAATTTCACGAGAGGATCCCCGGCGTAGTAGCACACGCCGCTATTTACTTGTTTTATTCACTACTTTTCAGTAATTCATCGTTTGTGAATTCGACACTACCAATGCCGCTATTTACTTGTTTTATTCTCTACTTTTCAGTAATTCATCGTTTCTGACTTCGACACAACCAATGCTGAAAATATTTTGCTTTAAAACACTACCAGTAGCTCGTGAAGGACGATTATTCCCCCCCCCCCTCCCCTCCGCGAAAGCAGCCGCCCTAGTGACGACATTTTACAGACGACAATGAAAATATGAAGCAGAAATTGTTCCCCCCTCCCCCTTAGCTTCAAATTGTTTAAAAACTTAATTGTCTGTCCCTAATAGCCGTCAGTAATTTGAACCGGCTCTACGATTGTAAACATCCGGCGTGAACCATAACTCACCAGACTCTTTGGGTTGGGGGTCATAGCGATATGGTCTGTTGTGCATGCCTGGAGAGCGAGGGAGGGGGCGGGAGGAGGGTTAGATAGTCGGCTTGCGTCTTGTCTTGTCCACGTAGAGAACTCTATACATAGAAGTACTTTAATAATAAGCTAAATATATATTTAGCGCGCTTTACCTTTTCATTAATCACACAAAATACATCACAGGAAAGCAGATAATGCCCAAAACGAATATACTACACAAAAAAATTGTGGTAAGGATTTTTACTAGTACAGCCATTTCTATTTTAACATAGAACTAGACTTAATATTAAAATGGAACGGCGTACTCGGATAGTAGAGCGACTGCTGAGCTAAAAGTCTCGAGTTCGGGTGTCCATATGACAAGCCTCAGTAACCCTGAGTCCACCCAGCTCTAATGGGTACCTCACTTTGTGAGAGAAACTAGAGGCATCTGAGTATATTGCTGACCAGATAATCCTTCCGTTTGCCAATGTCATAGAAACAAAAATACACACTTCATCTGTTCCATCTACCGACAGCTATGAAAGGATAACTTTGCTTACTACAAAACTTAACAACTGTTTTAAGTGAAGATTGTGAGGCACGGCCGCCGCCCCTGACACATTGGTGGTCGCCGAGAGGTGTCATCCTCACTACGGAGGGCTACTGATGTACACACAAGACTTTCCTACAGCATTCCATGGGGCGTCTGGGCGGTAGCGAGTACAATCCAGTGTTACTTCCAGACTTTTTTCTCCGGGGGGGGGGCCTTGATATTTTCGGGGGGGGGGTGGGGGGACGAGGGAGGCAGCCCCCCCCCCCCTTCCGCCGAAGAGATGCCTGGAAGAAACCCTGGTACAAAACCCGCACTAGTATCCAAGAAATATTGCGCTGGCACTGTTTGCATTTAAATAAATGAGGTTTAGAAAACAAGGTCAGGCATCTAAAAATAAACAATTGGTAACGCATTGCAGAAATCGTCTTAAAATTATGGGGCAAACTGTCATTTAAATAATGTAAATAGTGTTGTTAATAAAACTAGTGTTAAAAAGCTTTTTATTTTTTAAAAATACAGCGATGAACAATGTCTAGATCCAATTGTCCTGGAGGGATTCATCAACACTTTGTAATTTTCAGTGGAGAGGAGTTATGGATAACAATCTTTTGGTGCTTGATTAGATAGATGAGAGCTAGGGGATTTATTATAGCACGACGATACCTTGCCGTTTGGGAGTTTGTTTCGTGAAGCACCTTGGTTAGGTATACATGAGTTATGAGGCTGGTTGTAGGATGCAGACATGCCGTTTTGGAATTCGCAGCGAGAATTAGCTTGGCTGGACATATATGCGTTAGAAGGTTGGGTGTAGGAGCCTGGAATTACGTTTTGGATTTCATTTCGAGAATTAACCTGGCTAGAAATACATGCGTTAGATGGTTGGGTGTAGGAGCCAGGCATTACGTTTTGGATTTCATTTCGAGAAATAGCCTGGCTAGAAATACATGCGTTAGAAGGTTGGGTGTAGGAGCCAGGCATTACGTTTTGGATTTCATTTCGAGAAATAGCCTGGCTAGAAATACATGCGTTAGAAGGTTGGGTGTAGGAGCCAGGCATTACGTTTTGGATTTCATTTCGAGAATTAACCTGGCTAGAAATACATGCGTTAGATGGTTGGGTGTAGGAGCCAGGCATTACGTTTTGGATTTCATTTCGAGAAATAGCCTGGCTAGAAATACATGCGTTAGAAGGTTGGGTGTAGGAGCCAGGCATTACGTTTTGGATTTCATTTCGAGAAATAGCCTGGCTAGAAATACATGCGTTAGATTGTTGGGTGTAGGAGCCAGGCATTACGTTTTGGATTTCATTTCGAGAATTAGCCTGGCTAGAAATATATGCGTTAGAAGGTTGGGTGTAGGAGCCAGGCATTACGTTTTGGATTTCACTTCGAGAACTAGCCTGACTAGGCATACACGTGAAAGAAGGTTGGGCGTATGAAACAGACCGCTCGTTTTGCAGCTTGTTGCGAGATCCATAGACAGTAGAAGCGTGAGTTGGTTTCAACGCCGATCTTGCAGGTTCTACTTTCTGGATGCTGTTCGCGGCTGTATAACTGTTAACGAAATTCCCTTGTGACAGCTCGGGTGCCCGAACACAGGAGCTTTGACGGACAGAATGCGAACTTGGGCCGTTGAATTGTTGAGAGGTGAGGCGTAGCTTCGAATCGGACATGTATACGCCTTGTGACGATGCTCCACTATCTCCTACAGCTTTCGCCTGTTCACTGTATTGTTGTGAGACATGCGAGGTGTAGGGATTCTCTGGTTCTGTCATGTCCATTCTAGCGTAGCTGCTGATTGAGCAGGATGCTGGGACTTCGAATTTCGACCCCTGATTTTCGCCTCTACTGAGCTGCTCTTTATCTTGTTGGGGTACACCATATTCGCACACCATTTTACACCTTGGGACACATTCACTCCCATCTGCCTGTCTCGACATGGCAACAGAAGGTATAAGTGGCGCGCAGTAGTCGTAAGTTCTTCGTTCAAGTGGTTTACTCTCCTGCTCAATCAGTTCTGCGGAGTTTGGCTTGTACGTCGATTTGATTCGTGAAGTCCCTGCTGTTAAATCTGCAAAGGACATGCAAGAAATCGACGCAGGCGGCTTTTCGTTGCATTGGGATGAGTAGGCGCTTTGGTAAAAGGGGCGTGTCTGGGAAGTGTCTTTTAGCTCGCTCGTATTTAAGGCTGTCTGTGAAGCCGTTTTGATCAGACACTCGGTATTGTTCCGTCTTACTGATGACCCAACATAAGAGCCGGCTTCCTCGTTGTACCACTGGGACGACGGGGTCTTCCGTACATAAGACGTGTCCTCTATACGTTCACCTTCTCGGCAAGATCTTCTAAATTGGGACTCAATATTTGCAACCGATTTGGGTGGCTCCATCATAGTTCTCCAATGATCATCCATTGGCTTTGGGGGCGAATTCTGGCGATAACAAACCGAATTGCTGTCCTGCGTGACAGCATTAGATGCTGGTCTGTACTGTCGAGAAGGTACTATCTTGTAGCAGCTTCGTGGACTTCCGCCAACGTTGTGTACAGTTTTGCTCTGAGGTTCATCATAGTAGCACACACAGTTAGTAAACACTTGAGGACACTGCTGCGTCGTTGTTTGCGATTCATGGTATGCTGGCTCTGATTGCCTCTTTGCAGTGCGACAACCAGATTCGTTTATCAAGCGCGTAAACTCGCTATCACACTCCTGGACACTTTCGGGAAACCCTTCTTCTAAATCACTATCGACATTCGAGGAGGCTTGACTCGGCGCTCTAGATTCAGAATAAATCTGATTCGTTTTCAGTTGAGCACACGAGCTCAAATCTTCGGTCGCTGAGTGGTGAGACCGATCCACAAAAGATTTGCATCTCTGGGTGGGGTATTGTCCCCGTGCTGAATGTGACGCGTGTGTGTTTGCACACAGCGAGTATTCGCTTCTGTTTATTGAGGGAGTACCACACTCCACTACGTTCCTCTGTATGCATGATGCAGGCACCCTTGGGCACGTTTGAGCGTCCCTGCTATCTCTGTATAAACGGCTGCTGTCCGCTGTACTACCGGGTAAAGGTGACGCTTGACAGTAGCTGCTGGCGACTTTACAACACCGGTTACTGAAACAGGGATCAGTTTGTAGCATTTGGCTACGGTTCAGCAAGCAGCTTCTGTGGCTGGAATAACATATATCAGAGTCATCCTGTGCTTTTGACAAGCGCGATTCAGTCTTAGCAGACAGTGCTGCGTCTCTCTGGGATACACTATTGTGTTCATAGTCTGTGTCATACATTGAGTTGATACCGGTCTGAGAGTTCCTGGAATTTAACTGACGGTTTGATTCCGAATGGAAGGTGTCACTCCCGCCCCACCCGGGTTGATCGTGAAACGTCCCCTGCGACCACCCCTCTTGTTGGCTGGCAGGCGTCACTGGACGGCTAGAGGTGTGCAACCTGTCGGCACAAGATCTCTGTGACATGCTTCTGGCTGACAAGCTTCTTCTGAATTCACTTTCATTTCTCTCTGCCGAAACGCTCTGAGGGCTGGGGTTGTCCCTCTGTCTGAAGCTGGATTTGGTGGACAACCGGATGCCGGCGTTCGAAGTGGGGGCTTGGGTTGAGCC